TTCCTTGTGTACTTCAACAGGGTATTATTTAGCATAAGGTCGTAGAAATTTTGAGTAGTAGCATAACATCTGTCGATCACCACCCTTAATTCCTGTAGAAGGTCTTGGCTCAAGTCTTGTGGTCTGTATAATTTTCCATCCACACCTCAGATATGGCTAAGGCTTGTGTAAAAATGCATTGTCCACTCAATTAACCGAGAATCTTGCAGCATAAACACATCCACTTCTTATCTGTATTCGTCATTTACCGAAATATCTGCATTAAACGAAATCTGATGAGAACTCAAATCTTTTTTGTAAATTTCAGTCTTAATTACTGCATCAAACACTTAATTTTAGACCTAATTTATTAATATCCAAAAGAATTGCAGAACGATACTCCTCTTAATGAGGTCAGATCATCAACATGTTAATTCTGAAAAATATTATCTATCGAAAGGTTAGTGACCAAGATTTTTCTTATTATTAGACCAGTTTGCATAACTGTCGTTTAAGTTCTTTTAAGCGCAGCATTTTAATTAGTTGCTGCTCTGGCTCCACCGCGGAGCTGCCCCCTTGGTTGCTGCTTCGAGGGTAGTCCCGGTTACATTTTAGTACTGCATTAAACACTACGTACAGTCTCTCTTTTGGTAGTAACAGATAGGGTTGGTTTATGGCTAATTCGGAATTCATCTTAGGTCAGGTCTATTCGTTTAAGTTTCCCGTCAAATACGCGCTTTAAATGTGCTGGCTTTTTATCACTAAGTATTTCTGATGAGACTACACAGTTTTACTGTGTCACTCGTCTTTTTCCTTATGTCTAATCTTGTTCGTCTTTTTTCTGCGACTTATGCGTACTCATTTTATAGAGCTTGGTATGTCAGAGAACGATCCATGGCAAAAGTTCTTAGCAGAACTTAAGGAAATCGATAAAGGGGTTCAGTCTACCCCGCAATCAAATCGAGCTCCAGTCGCTGAAGATCTGAATTTGTCCGCAGTGGGCGCAAATCCCAACGGTTCCTTTGGCCTGTCCTCTTCAAACGCTGATTCTAGCGACAAAAGTGACAATGAAGTTAGCAAGGCAGAGAGGTCGTATATAAATAAACTGCTCAGCACAAAGCTTGTGGAAACGCAGGCTAGCGATATTGAGATGCTACGGGAGGACCCATCAAATCCACTACATTCAGTTAAAACCTTTCAGGATTTGAGATTGTTAGTTCCTTTTTCACATTTTTTGAAGTATTTAGGGATCCTCGGCTTCTGAAGGGTATTGCAGCACTAGGGTTTTACAAGCCATCAGCCATTCAAGAAAAAGCTCTCCCCTACCTGATTGGCGACAGGTATGTAAGCACTCTCTTCTACCGCCGTTTTTGCATGTTCCCAGTTTGATTTTCTCCCTCAGTGTTTATTGAATCCTGCTTCTCTGCACCTAAACTACATACTTTTGACAATGCTCAAGATTGA